GCTCTTTGTGTTTTTGGCCTGTTCTATTTTATTTTCTCCTGTGCCACAGATTATTGGAACCTGACTCCTGCCTCCGCTTCACTCCTGCCACCACCATCCTGCTTTCCACTACCGGACCTCCCTCTTGGACTCATCACGGACACTAGGACATTACGGTACCACCCCTGCCCTGACCTGGATCTGTTACCCTCCCTATAACCTGGACTTGCTCTTCCCCTGCTATTGGAAACCTGGACTATTGTACATTGTAAATAAACCTGTTAAACCTTCTCTGGCTTGGTGTAGTTGTCTGCATTTGGGTTCTATCCAGTTAAATCATGACAGGGACAGGGCGTCTGCCTTACCGTTCTGGGACCCTGGGATGTATGTGATCTTAAAAACAAACCGGGTCAGGAACATGTTCCACCTAGCCTGACGAGGGTTCAATCTCCTAGCTGCCCGGATGTACTCCAGGTTACGGTGGTCAGTCAGAATGAGGAAAGGGTGTTGAGCCCCCTCAAGCCAATGCCTCCACACCTTTAGGGCCTGGACTACAGCTAACAGCTCCCTGTCCCCTACGTCATAATTGCACTCCGCCGGGCTGAGCTTCTTAGAATAGAATGCACAGGGGCGGAGTTTAGGTGGCGTGCCAGACCGTTGCGACAGGACTGCCCCAATACCGGCCTCGGACGCGTCTACCTCAACTTGGAATGGTAAAGCGGGGTCAGGATGCGCCAGCACCGGAGCCGAAGTGAACAGGTTCTTAAGTTTACCAAACGCCCTGTCCGCCTCAGCTGACCACTGCAAACGCACCGGACCCCCCTTTAGCAGGGACGTAATGGGAGCTGCCACCTGTCCAAAGCCCCGGATAAACCTCCGGTAGTAATTAGCAAAACCCAAAAACTGTTGCACCTCTTTTACAGTGGTTGGAGTTTGCCAATTACGCACGGCCGACACACGGTCAACCTCTATCTTCACACCAGACGCGGACAACCGATAACCCAAAAAGGAGACGGACTCCTGGAAGAACAAGCATTTCTCTGCCTTGACATACAAGTCATGCTCCAACAGCCTCCTCAACACTCGGCGCACCAGGGCTACATGCTCGGCTCGTGTAGAAGAGTACACTAGGATGTCGTCGATGTATACTACCACACCCTGCCCATGCATGTCCCGGAAAATCTCGTCAACAAAGGATTGGAAGACTGAAGGAGCATTCATTAACCCGTATGGCATGACGAGATACTCGTAATGACCCGAGGTGGTGCTAAATGCTGTTTTCCATTCATCCCCCTCCCTAATGCGCACCAGATTGTACGCACTCCTGAGATCCAACTTTGTGAAGAACCGCGCTCCGCGTAATGACTCCGTCATAGTCGCAATCAGAGGAAGAGGGTAACTGTACTTAACCGTGATCTGATTGAGACTACGGTAATCAATACACGGGCGCAAACCCCCGTCCTTCTTCTTCACAAAGAAGAAACTCGAGGAAACCGGGGACGTGGAGGACCGTATGTATCCCTGTGCCAAGGACTCGGCTATGTAAGTCTCCATAGCCGCTGTCTCCTCTTGAGACAGGGGATACACACGACTCCGCGGAAGTGCCACTCCCGTTTGGAGATCTATCGCACAATCCCCCTGTCTATGAGGTGGTAGCCGTGTTGCCCTAGTTTTGCTGAACACAAGTGCCAAATCCTCATATTCAGGGGGAATGCGCATTGCGGGCACTTGGTTCGGACTCTCCACCGAGGTCGCCCCTAAGGAAACACCTAGACATCTCCCTACACACTGGGCAGACCACTCCATAAGAGCCCTCTGTTGCTACGCAATGGTAGGATCATGGGCACTTAACCAGGGAAGCCCCAGCACCACGGGATACGCAGGAGAGTCGATCAGATAAAACTGAATGATCTCCTCATGACCCCCCTGCGTCGTCATCTTAAGTGGTGCTGTGACTTCTCTGATCAACCCCGACCCCAGCGGCCGGCTGTCTAGGGCATGAACAGGAAAGGGGGCTTCTACCGGCCGAAGGGGAATTCCTAACCTATAACAAAATTCACGATCAACAAAATTCCCAGCTGCGCCTGAATCTACTAGCGCCTTATGCTGGGAATGAGGTGCCACCTGTGGAAATCTCACAGGTATACACAGGTGACCAACAGAGAGCTCTGGGTAAGTGGGGCGCCTACTCACCTGAAATGACTCCCCAGTGCGTGACCTGTTGTCCCCTCTCCCAGGAGACCCTCCCCAGCACCTAGCCGCAGTGTGTCCTCCACGGCCACAGTTGGTGCAGGGGACGGCCCCCCTCGGGTTCTCTCTCCTCCTCTCCCTAGCGCCAGCACCCCCGTGAGCTCCATGGGAATCGGCTCGGAGGTGCTGGAGGGTGGAATGGACGACCCCCACTCGGGACGTCCGCAGGTAGCCAGCAGGGTGTCGAGACGGATGGAAATGTCCACCAACTGGTCGAAGGATAGGTTGGTGTCCCTGCAGGCCAGCTCACGACGAAAGTCCTCTCGTAGACTACACCGGTAATGGTCGATGAGGGCCCTCTCATTCCACCCCGCATCCGCCGCTAGAGTCCGGAACTCCAGGGCGAACTCCTGTGCACTCCTCTTCCCTTGTCGGAGGTGGAACAGATGCTCCCCCGCCGCCTTCCCCTCAGGTGGATGATCGAACACAGCCCTGAAGCGGCGGGAGAACTCCGCGTAGGTGATGGTGGCGGCGTCTATTCCCCTCCATTCGGCGTTGGCCCACTCCAACGCCTTGCCGGATAGACAGGAGATGAGGGCGGAGACGCTCTCGTATCCCGAGGGCGCCGGGTGTATGGTGGCCAGGTAGAGTTCCACCTGCAGGAGGAACCCCTGACACCCGGCTGCAGAACCATCATATGCCCTCGGGAGCGAGAGCCGAATGCCACTGGGTTCCGGTGCTGGGAGAGGAGGACTGGCCGATGGTGATGGTAAGGTGTGCGAAGGCGTGGGCACCTCTTCCGTAACCAACCGGCGCAGAGTGTTGGACACCTCGTTCATGGCGGCCCCAAGTTGCCGGATCATGGTGTCTTGGTCGCTGATCCGATCCTCCAGCGACTTGGGTGCCGCCGCTGCTCCTGCTGACTCCATATGGTGTGTTGTTCTGTCAATGGCTGAGGTGAATGTGGTGTGGGAGTCAGGCGCAGGACACCGAAGGTTAGTCCAACAAAGTTTACTAGTGCAACACAAGGCACAATACAAATGAACGGCCTCAACATGAACCAGAGGCGAGCGATTACGCAAACTCTGCGTAAACTTCAAAAACAACAAACAGAGAAAACACGCAGCACTAACGGACAGGCGAATAACAACACACAAACTAACCAACACAAAACAGGCAACTTATAGGACACATAATCAGACACAAACGGACACAGGTGCAATAGACAGACAAAAGCAATCAAACACTGAAACATCTAACGGTGGCAGCTAGTACTCCGGGGACGGCGAACGCCGAAGCCTGCCCGAGCAAGGAGGAGGAGCAGCCTCGGCAGAATCCGTGACAAGCTCATTACAACAGCAGACAACTGCCAATCAAGGTTTATTATTATTATTATAGTCCTCTACAAAAACTACAACAAACCATGACAAATATAGAAGACACAATTCTCTTACCAGGAATAAGATGATTAAAATCCCCCCAAAACGTAGCAATCCACTTCAATAAAAACGTAGCAAGCAACTCCCAGCACGCGACGTCAACAGACGAGGTTCCTTTCTTATTTTTAAAAAGTAGGGATTAGAAAATTGTGCCAGAGCATTGGCTGCCTCCCACACGCCTCCACCGTCAGCGTAATAACACATGGACTTGGTTTGAGCAGTTCATGTCATATGAGGACACTAACACGCACCAACTGAAAGTGACATGGTCTATTCCATGTTATTATCTGCTCTTTCTCATGTCCATATTCATACACAGCGAAGAACCACACACGTTTAAACACGTTTAGAAAGTGACAAGGTGTCTACTGTGCTCTCTCGCCTGGATTTCTAAATGTGTAGACCAACCAGGAACTGTGTGTGTCTCTTTACATGTCCTCTGACTCCCGGGGCGTGTAACCGTGATGCGTGTGTCTCTTTACATTTCCTCTGACTCCCGGGGCGTGTAACCGTGATGCGTGTGTCTCTTTACATGTCCTCTGACTCCCGGGGTGTGTAACCGTGATGCGTGTGTCTCTTTACATTTCCTCTGACTCCCGGGGCGTGTAACCGTGATGCGTGTGTCTCTTTACATTTCCTCTGACTCCCGGGGCGTGTAACCGTGATGCGTGTGTGTCTTTACATGTCCTCTGACTCCCGGGGCGTGTAACCGTGATGCGTGTGTCTCTTTACATGTCCTCTGACTCCCGGGGCGTGTAACCGTGATGCGTGTGTCTCTTTACATTTCCTCTGACTCCCGGGGTGTGTAACCGTGATGCGTGTGTCTCTTTACATGTCCTCTGACTCCCGGGGCGTGTAACCGTGATGCGTGTGTCTCTTTACATGTCCTCTGACTCCCGGGGCGTGTAACCGTGATGCGTGTGTCTCTTTACATGTCCTCTGACTCCCGGGGCGTGTAACCGTGATGCGTGTGTCTCTTTACATTTCCTCTGACTCCCGGGGCGTGTAACCGTGATGCGTGTGTGTCTTTACATGTCCTCTGACTCCCGGGGCGTGTAACCGTGATGCGTGTGTCTCTTTACATGTCCTCTGACTCCCGGGGCGTGTAACCGTGATGCGTGTGTCTCTTTACATTTCCTCTGACTCCCGGGGCGTGTAACCGTGATGCGTGTGTCTCTTTACATGTCCTCTGACTCCCGGGGTGTGTAACCGTGATGCGTGTGTGTCTTTACATGTCCTCTGACTCCCGGGGCGTGTAACTGTGATGCGTGTGTCTCTTTACATGTCCTCTGACTCCCGGGGCGTGTAACCGTGATGCGTTTGTATCACTAGACTAGAGGTTTGTCCAGAGATAAAGGAGAGGCTCTTTTTGAACCATTTTGTGCGTCACGCATGACGTGAGTAGTGTCGTAGTTAGTTCCTCCTTCCTTCTCCCATTCACAGGTTAGACTCAGTAGGTAATGCAGCGTGATGCACTGCTGATAGCGACGTCTGGTCTGGTCAGTCTCACCTCAACAAACACAAACACTATGAATCCCCCTTTACAGTTAATATGTGTCATTATCTGTGTGTGTCTGATGTAGCTTAGCCAGGAGGCATGTGTGTGTTGTCTGTAGGCTACGTCTCCCTCCCCTCCTCTCTCTCAGGGTGTGTAGACTAACCAGGACACGTGTGTGTGTGTATTAACAGTGTGTGTTAATATCTCCCTCCCCTCCTCTCTCTCAGGGTGTGTAGACTAACCAGGACACGTGTGTGTGTGTATTAACAGTGTGTGTTAATATCTCCCTCCCCTCCTCTCTCTCAGGGTGTGTAGACTAACCAGGACACGTGTGTGTGTGTATTAACAGTGTGTGTTAATATCTCCCTCCCCTCCTCTCTCCCAGGGTGTGTAGACTAACCAGGACACGTGTGTGTGTGTATTAACAGTGTGTGTTAATATCTCCCTCCCCTCCTCTCTCTCAGGGTGTGTAGACTAACCAGGACACGTGTGTGTGTGTATTAACAGTGTGTGTTAATATCTCCCTCCCCTCCTCTCTCCTAGGCTGTGTAACCGTGATGCGTGGGTGTGTTCCACCCAGGACAACCTGTCTGTGGCGCAGCGGGAGGAGCAGGCCAGTGTGGAGCTCAGGCTGCTGGTGGAGAGGGTCCTACAGGAGACGGCTGAGGACCTGAGGGTCCAGTGCTCTAACGTAGACCAGGCCTTCAGCCAGCGCTGTCTGCAGCTCACTGAGGCCAAGACACAGCTAGAACTGCACCTCACTCAGGTTGGTGAGGGAGGTGGAGGTGTGTGTGTGTGTGTGTGTGTGTGTGTGTGTGTGTGTGTGTGTGGGTCAACAGCCAAAACCCAAGCCTTCCGCAATTTAAACAAAAAATGAAATAGATTGGCGCCTACCCAACAGGCAAAGTGAATGTTTTAAAAGGAAGAAGAGGTAAAGGCATTCATAACATATCCCTAAGGGTTATTCAGCTGAGGCTAGAATGCAGAGAATGCTGCACCTGAACTCAACACTGTGAGTGTGTATAGATCCTGGATCAGATCGGGGCTCAGGAGAGGAACATGGTGTCTCTACAGAAGGCTCTGTATGATAAAGAGGCCCCTCTGAGAGTGGCTCAGTCCAGGCTGCACCAACGCTCACACAGACCCCACATGGAGCTCTGTAGGGACAACCCTCAATTCAGGTACACACGGACACACACACACACACACACACACACACACACACATACACACACACACACACACACACACGTACACACACACACACACACACACACACACACACACACACACACACACACACACACACACACACACACACACGTACACACACACACACACACCACACACACACACACACACACACACGTACACACACACAAATGGACAGAGCACACACATGCACGCAAGCCAGTAAGCACAACGGACACACACCCAAACACACACCCAAACATACACCCAGACATACACACACACACATCACACTTTCTCTCCCATCTTTCACAAACACCTACACTGGTATGACAAGCTCCTCTGCTTCCTCTCTCTCTCTCTCTCTCTCTCTCTCTCCTCTCTCTCTCTCTCTCTCTCTCTCTCTCTCTCTCTCTCCTCTCTCCCCCCCTCGTCTCTCCCCTCCTATCTCTCTCTTTCTGGTCCTCTCTCCTCCCACCCTCCCCCCTCTCTCCCCCCCCCCTCTCTCTCTCTCTCTCTCTCTCCAGTCTGGTAGGGTGAGGTAGGTCAGATCTCCCAGACCATGTCATCCCTGCAGCAGCAGCTGTCTGCAGCGCGGAGCTCCCTGTCCCACCTGGAGGAATCCCGCATGGCGCTGGAGAAGGACATCGGCTGTAAGACCCACAGTCTGCTCATCGACAGGGAGAAGTGCATGTCCCACCGCACCCGCTACCCCACCATCATAGCCCTGTCTGGGTACTGAGGAGAGAGAGAGACGGGGGGACATGGGGACGTGTGTGGGAGGGATGGGGGTGTGAGTGTGTGTGTGTTTGTGCGTGAGATTTGTGTGTGTGTGTGTGATCAAGCCTGTATTAGTGACTACTGCGACATTGTGTGCATTTGCTTGGTGTTTCCAGTTGTGTTGTCAATCAGTAAAGGCTTGTCTGTCACAGCTGACTGGACACTGATCACTCAACACTAGTCTAAGAGTGTACACTGATCACTAGACACTAGTCTAAGAGTGTACACTGATCACTAGACACTAGTCTAAGAGTGTACACTGATCACTAGACACTAGTCTAAGAGTGTACACTGATCACTAGACACTAGTCTAAGAGTGTACACTGATCACTAGACACTAGTCTAAGAGTGTACACTGATCACTAGACACTAGTCTAAGAGTGTACACTGATCACTAGACACTAGTCTAAGAGTGTACACTGATCACTAGACACTAGTCTAAGAGTGTACACTGATCACTAGACACTAGTCTAAGAGTGTACACTGATCACTAGACACTAGTCTAAGAGTGTACACTGATCACTAGACACTAGTCTAAGAGTGTACACTGATCACTAGACACTAGTCTAAGAGTGTACACTGATCACTAGACACTAGTCTAAGAGTGTACAACTGATCACTAGACACTAGTCTAAGAGTGTACACTGATCACTAGACACTAGTCTAAGAGTGTACATGATCACTAGACACTAGTCTAAGAGTGTACACTGATCACTAGACACTAGTCTAAGAGTGGTACACTGATCACTAGACACTAGTCTAAGAGTGTACACTGATCACTAGACACTAGTCTAAGAGTGTACACTGATCACTAGACACTAGTCTAAGAGTGTACAACGATCACTAGACACTAGTCTAAGAGTGTACACTGATCACTAGAACACTAGTCTAAGAGTGTACACTGATCACTAGACACTAGTCTAAGAGTGTACACTGATCACTAGACACTAGTCTAAGAGTGTACACTGATCACTAGACACTAGTCTAAGAGTGTACACTGATCACTAGACACTAGTCTAAGAGTACACTGATCACTAAACACTAGTCTAAGAGTACACTGATCACTAGACACTAGTCTAAGAGTACACTGATCACTAGACACTAGTCTAAGAGTACACTGATCACTAGACACTAGTCTAAGAGTACACTGATCCCTAGACACTAGTCTAAGAGTACACTGATCACTAAACACTAGTCTAAGAGTACACTGATCACTAGACACTAGTCTAAGAGTACACTGATCACTAGACGCTAGTCTAAGAGTACACTGATCACTAGACACTAGTCTAAGAGTACACTGATCACTAGACACTAGTCTAAGAGTGTACACTGATCACTCAACACTAGTCTAAGAGTGTACACTGATCACTAGACACTAGTCTAAGAGTGTACACTGATCACTAAACACTAGTCTAAGTAGAAGGTACAAACTGATCACTAACACTAGTCTAAGAGTGGTACACTGATCACTCAACACTAGTCTAAGAGTGTACACTGATCACTAAACACTAATCTAAGAGTACACTGATCACTAGACACTAGTCTAAGACTACACTGATCACTAGACACTAGTCTAAGAGTACACTGATCACTAAACACTAGTCTAAGAGTACACTGATCACTAAACACTAGTCTAAGAGTACACTGATCACTAGACACTAGTCTAAGAGTGTACACTGATCACTAAACACTAGTCTAAGAGTGTACACTGATCACTAGAACACTAGTCTAAGAGTGTACACTGATCACTAAACACTAGTCTAAGAGTGTACACTGATCACTAAACACTAGTCTAAGAGTGTACACTGATCACTCAACACTAGTCTAAGAGTGTACACTGATCACTAAACACTAGTCTAAGAGTACACTGATCACTAGACACTAGTCTAAGACTACACTGATCACTAGACACTAGTCTAAGAGTACACTAATCACTAGACACTAGTCTAAGAGTACACTGATCACTAGACACTAGTCTAAGAGTACACGGATCACTAGACACTAGTCTAAGAGTACACTGATCACTAAACACTAGTCTAAGAGTACACTGATCACTAAACACTAGTCTAAGAGTACACTGATCACTAAACAATAGTCTAAGAGTGTACACTGATCACTAAACACTAGTCTAAGAGTGTACACTGATCACTAAACACTAGTCTAAGAGTGTACACTGATCACTAGACACTAGTCTAAGAGTGTACACGGATCACTAAACACTAGAGCAGCAGGATATTTCCTTCCCTCTGCCCTTGTTCACTCCCCTTCATGGATCTGACACAAATGGTAGGGCTACCCCAACTTCTTCCAACAGATCTACTGTCCTGTAGCAACTCCCAACTTCTTCCAACAGATCTACTGTCCTGTAGGTTTTCACTCCAACCTTAGCATACAGGATCTGGTTTAGGTCTTGGTGAGAAGCTAATTAGTAGAATCGGGTGTGCTAGATTAGGGTTGGACTGAAAACCTACAGGATGGTAGATCTCCAGGAAGAGGGTTGGAGTGAAAACCTACAGGATGGTAGAGCTCCAGGAAGAGGGTTGGAGTGAACCTACAGGAAGGTAGATCTCCAGGAAGAGGGTTGGAGTGAAAACCTACAGGATGGTAGACTCCCAGGAAGAGGGTTGGAGTTGAAAACCTACAGGATGGTAGATCTCCAGAAGAGTGTTGGAGTGAAACCTACAGGATGGTAGATCTCCAGGAAGAGGGTTGGAGTGAAAACCTACAGGATGGTAGATCTCCAGGAAGAGGGTTAGAGTGAAAACCTACAGGATGGTAGATCTCCAGGAAGAGGGTTGGAGTGAAAACCTACAGGATGGTAGATCTCCAGGAAGAGGGTTGGAGTGAACCTACAGGATGGTAGATGTCCAGGAAGAGGGTTGGAGTGAAAACCTACAGGATGGTAGATGTCCAGGAAGAGGGTTGGAGTGAACCTACAGGATGGTAGATGTCCAGGAAGAGGGTTGGAGTGAAAACCTACAGGATGGTAGATCTCAGGAAGAGGGTTGGAGTGAAACCTACAGGATGGGGGGAGATGTCCAGTGAAGAGGGTTGGACTGAACCTACAGGATGGTAGATGTCCAGGAAGAGGGTTGGAGTGAAAACCTACAGGATGGTAATGTCCAGGAAGAGGGTTGGAGTGAACCTACAGGATGGTAGATTCCAGGAAGGGTTGGAGTGAAAACCTACAGGATGGTAGATCTCCAGGAAGAGGGTTGGAGTGAAAACCTTACAGGATGGTAATGTCCAGAAGAGGTTGGACTGAACTACAGGATGGTAGATCTCAGGAAGAGGTTTTGGCAGCCCTGGTCTAGTTCTGCCATCTTGCTTTCAACTCCAGTCCTACAGATCTGTGAATGGGAGTGAATGAGGACAGAGGGAGTGAACATCTTCTGGGGGTGTGTCCCAAATGGCACCCTA